TCCTTTAAAACAAGAATTGCAGCTCAAAATGATTGATAAAGAAAATTAAACATTAGTAAAGGAATATTACATTTCTGTTAATGAATTAAACTTATATACACTATGTCTAGTCATAAAAGAGTATCTTTCACTTGTATTTTAGTGCTTTTGTTTATCAAAAATATTTAATTTTTAATATATAAATATTTGTCACTTCATGGGAAGCGTGACTTCCGGCTAAATGATACGATTTGATAAGCTTAGAAACATTTTTGGAGATCCATTATATTCATGTAATAGACCACGGTCCAAAACGCAGAATTTTACACTCAAATGTGAACAAACTTTGTAATGAAATCAGCAAAACGTAAACCAAACGCAAATAAAAAAACTATTTACGAATGTGACTCGAAGAAAAAACACTTAAAAAACTGTTTAACTAAATATCCAGACGATACAATTTGAAACGATTTATTTTTTATGGAGAAAAACATGAAAATTGAAAGCCAACCGGTAAAAATACAATAAAGACGAGAAAAAAGCAAGCTTCGTTTCAAGTTAAATAATGCCATATAATAAAGCTTTTAATAACCTCACTTTCTCGGACTTTACTGAGAAATATCAGACCTGATACAAAAGACCTCGGTCCGATATTTCTCTGTAAAGACCTCGCATTCGGATATTAAGCGCTTAATAATTTAGTTATTAAGTGTTTACGTATTTAAGTGTTTTATAAATTACTTTTGTGTACTTTATCATTTTGAAAATTTCTACTTCATATGCCCCTGGTGGAAATTAACGTAATTTGATGAGGTAGCTAAACGTCTTTGAATAAATATTTCATTTATCTATCCAAATTTGCATAATTTTAACAAAAGAAGTCCAGTTTTCGAATACACTCACGTATTATGAATTAGCCAACATAGATTCAAATGCACATGTTTACAAGTTATAACCAATAGAAGTCCAGGTTTTAAGCATCATTGTTGTGATAGAACGCCCAACGGGCGATAGTTATTAAATGACGTTCTCAAGTACAGTAGGAATAAATATACTTCAACTCTTTTTTTAAACAAAAAGGTATGTTGAGTTTTTCAACGTTATTATAAGAGATAAGTGCTTTAATTGTGAGTAAACACAATGTTTGTAAGTCGTAGACAACAGGTAACTTCCAGAAAAAAACGCGAGGATGAACACTTGTAACTGAAGCAACTTGACACAAATTACCAAAGAACAAGGTCAGACACTCAGATTTCGGACACTGTCGATCAGGATCATCAACGCAATCCAACGTATAACAAATTTGACCAGAACGCGAGCCAATAATGAACGTCTTAACAATGTAATCAAACGGACAAGCTATGGTAACAGCAATAAGTTTTCCGTCAGGAGAATAACTGATATCACTAAGCAAATCAAAGTAATTGTGATGTTTTGGGTGAACAGCTAACCTTTTTCGATAGGCAAATTGGAAATTTTCAGAATTGTCAGAAAGATTTAAAACGCGCCACACACAAAACAGCCCGAAACGATCACATATTGCAAATTCCCCACGGCCAAATGCCGGATTGTAGCAGCATTTTGTAACTGCTGTATAATAATCGTAAACACGAACACGTTGTAGTAGTTTTAAACTGTCAGCGTCAAAATAGAACAGTTCACCATCAGTGCTTCCTGCCAAAAGACGGCTGACATCAGGAGATAGAGCCAAACAACTAAAGCCATCAGCACGATACTCCGCCCGCAAATGTAAATAATCTTCAACATCACTTTCATTCCCACTTTCACGTCTTTCTTTTAACACTTGCTCGTCACGCTCATTAAACTCAACATGCGTATTAAGTATAGGACAACCTAACTGAATGCAATCAACTCCACTAAATTCAACATTAAGATCAATCAATTGGTCGAGTCCGTCTTTTATAGAATCTTCTACGTTCCACAAACCGTCCGGTAGTTTATACACACGGCACCAAAAGTGGTACAAGTAATGGGGAAGTTTAGGATCCAAACAAATAGTTACGGCAATTCTCCTTCCATCTGGGAAGAACTTAAGTTGAGAAGTGCGAGCATGAAGACAGTTTATGCAATATACCGGTTTAGGTAACTTGCCGACCTCATTATCTGGGATGGCAAAAATAATCAAAACAAAATTGATAATATTATATCTGTGACGATGATTGAGTGCTGCACTTGCAGCTATTAAAGAACCGTCCCAAGAGACGGCCCATTTTGTATCAGAGTTAAAACTTAACACTTTTTCGAGCTCTTTTCAAATTTTATATCCATGAATTTCTTGACATCAGATTTGAAATCTTCACTTATAAGTCCTAGTGTATCGCTCTTGTAGCTGTACAAGAAACTTTTCATTGATGGTAAATAACACAAACAACGTATCGCCATATTTGTTTCAATGTTGACAACATGCGATGGTGGAATACCGTCTAGTTTCTAAATAAAAAAGAATGTTTTAATCATAATGTGAAAAGCTCACCAGAAGATCAATACTTGAAATATTTTATTATTTATACCTCGCTCATACATATCTCATATTCAGGAAAGCTGGGAGATGAGGAACGTTCAGATTCATCATCGGATGAATTGGAAGACATCGCGCAACTCTTTTCAAAACCTAGAAAAAATCGATTCTATTTCAAAATCGCTACCATTCTCTTCTCGGAAGCATGATTTTGCGAAAGAGTTTGGACACAGGAAGTAAAATTGCCTAGTGTCCGCCATTTTTTGTTTTAAAAATAAGCAAATATCTAGCAAATATAGAGAATTGAATGGTGAAAAGACAAATTTTCCGTTTTGTTTTCTTATTCATGAATAGACAGCGATATGGTTTACTTCAAAATCGGAAAATCATCAAGCCACGTTCTTAGATACCTGGCGCTCGACGTTTTACCCTCAACTATTTAACTGAAGCTAATTTTCCAGAGTTTTGGAGATAAAACAAGTCAATAAGCGGAAACTTTTAGTGCAAAATATTCCCCCGTTCAACGTTACGCAAGTCACCCATTCCACATTAAAATAAAAGCATTTGAAATGGTGAATAGTTTAAAATCCAATTGGTAAAATATTCTCTAGAAATTGTCAACGAACAAGCGTCATTTTTAAGTTATCTCGAAAATAAAATAGGCTGTTGTGTTGTATTGATTGTTTTAGCTTTGCTATACTTCCCTTTAACACGATGAAAACAGCTAAAATTCACACTTACCAGAATAAATATTGTCAGAGCACGTTTCAATGAAGACGACATGAAACTAAATGAATTTAACGACCACGAGGTAGAAAAGGTCTGACGTCTGAATCTATTCTTTCCACTAACATGTATCCCAGAAGTCAGCATTAATATTTAAAATTCAATTACCAGTGTGATTATGGAAAATACCCATATACTTCCTGATATAAGTTTTAGTATTCCCTTATATATCCTTGAAATATGCAGTAAGATTTTAGTTTATTATATTTTATACAAAAACCACTCTATATCACGGTCAAAACGAAGTTAAGTGAAACTTCATTAATGTAAACCCAAGTCCATTGCTGTAGAAACGGATTATTGGGGACAATGGACGTTCCGTATAGGCCGATGTCATTAGCACTTAAGGGTATAAAAATTTGATATTGGCAAACTTTGATAATTCTTGTAAAATCCGTAGTTAAGTCTTGATCTTAGCTTATATCTGCTCGTTGACGGTCTTATAACTATATCTAACAGCATTGATATTTGTGCTTCTAGTCAATTTCTGGTCCATTCATGTTCTGTGCGTTGCGTGCATTCATTCTTATCAATTAATATATTATCTGAATTACACACCTCACCCCATTCACTTTCTACGCCTAATTAAACAATTCAATGACCTTGTCAGCAGTAAAGATTGACAAAACAATAAACTGAATCTATCTCAACTTCATCGGAGTGAGCACCTACAGTGGCACTAAGGTCAAACTCAATGCATTCTACAGCTGTTTTGCGAGTTCGTTCCCTGGTCAAAATAAAATTAGCTTGCGAATGTGAGATGAGTTTGTGAGCTTTTGCTTGCATTTTTTCTCCGGCTGCTCCAGTTTTCTTCCTCTGGGAAATTTTGTAAAAGGGTTGATATTTACAGAAAGTATGGCGTTCAGGGAGAACCGTTATAAAAGGTTCTTCTGAGGTTAAAACAGCGTAGACGAGGTTAATATGAATTCATTGTTCGTATACCGGAGTATTTAAATTCATTACTCCTTAAGAAAGAACGTTTTGGCTGCGTTCACACTATACCGGATTTGCTCATCATGACGTCTTCATTTGCTTTAAAAGGGGTAACTGTTCGGAGTAAAAGCTTATTAAGCGGATAGATTTAGTCTATTTGATCGCGTTTCTGACGCTGAACAATTTTACTGCCTTTTAATACAAAGAATATTCAACCTGCTGCGATAGCAATCTGGTATATTGTAAACGGGGCCTTAATGAAGACGTGTTAAAAAATAGCATGGAAAAATGTCGTCGTTTTATATTCGCGTATTGCGTAATGATGGGTATTACCATTATATGCCAAGTAAGGACCAAATTCATTTCCTTATCACAATTCTGCGTCCATGTTCTCGATCAAAAATCTTGTTATCAACTTGGGCTAAGTCAGATTAGCACTAGCCTCCCACCCCCTCCGGCCAGCAATTAAAGTATTTTTCAAGGGCTGCACTGAAATAGTTCTCTTTCATTTAAAAAACATTGTTTGTATGGAAGCTTTTTCAATTGGCAAAAATCATCTATTATATTGCTGTCTCTCTCAAGCCATGAATTCCATGCTTCTTTCTTGCAACAAGAATCTTTTGCTCTTTAACAAACAAAACAAAATTTTGCTGGTTTTACTTTCCTTTCATAAATAAGAATGTATTATACATTTTATATTTTACGCATATCTCTCTATTGCTCTCAATAAGCCGATAAAATGTCGAGTTTTTAAATTGACGGGTCATAAACTATAGCGCACCAGCCTTCGACTTTATATTGTTTTGCCAAGATTGTGTAATAAGGACGTCTCTATATCAACACCTTCCACAAAGCAACATCCGAAAACCAACGGAAAACAGTTTATCTCCGGTCGGAGAAAATGTCACATGGCTAATAGAGTCACAATGCATATCGAAATCTTGAAAGCTACCTTTATCATAATCAATTACTTTCACTAGTCGATCTAAAACAAAAAGAAAATTACAGACAGCAAAAATACCTAATTAAGTGATTGTAAACTAAAGCATTGGGTGTCATTAATTCTCGAGGAAATAACAGCAGTTATTTCAGAAAACCATCGATAATCCAGTTTTACTAATGGAAGAAAACTAGATGAGAAAAATTGACATAAGTTGGAGTAGATAAAAAAACTTTAACGATTTCAAATTATTATCTTTCAAGATATAGAAAGGATTTTCAAATCGTTCAGTGTTGTTTTGCAGAACGTTGTAAAAAACTTCTTAATTTATACCTTTGGTTCCAACAGCAATTAAATGACCCTTAGGCGATATTTCCAAGCAAGAAGCCCATTGTGTCAACAAAATAGTTCGAAAAACCTGACAATGAACACATTTCCATCAATGATGGACATTTTTCTGCTCCAAGCACAGACCTCTTACAAATACTGACCTTTCTCTGGGACAAGCTGTAGAATTGTATCAGTTTTCTCAGACCATAACCACTGTACACAATAACATCGGGCTCTGTTGGCGAGAATCTTGCCAAACTTGGCGGTAGATGCAAATAGGCAGACTTCAAAGGGAGAAAACATGCTTATTTCAAACTTATTAAAACAGTTTTCCATAATAATTTATTTATCTTTCATTATCTTGAGCAACTACAATCAAGACAAGAAACAAACTACAATTTCTCACCGCATCGTCTTTTTTCAAAGCAATTCCTTCAGGTGTTATATTTGGAGCGGGAAAAGTTAACCAATCAACAAGCTCGCAGAAATCCTTCGACCAATCCGCCTTCCATACGCTAACCCTACGATCAGCGCTCGCAATAAGCCACAATCTGGGAGAATTGAATGATGGATGATCGTTCTAAAAACAAGGTTTTGATTATTAATAAGCCCTTAATGACCAAGCGCGAGGTCTTTACAGAGAAATAATGGACCGAAGTTTTTTTGTACAGACCGATCCCGTAGGGCGGGGTTGTACAAAAAAGACAGAGGTCTGATATTTCTCAGTAAAGACCGAGAAAGCGAGGTTATTAAATAGATTATTAGATGGCATTATTTGACCTGAAACGAAGCTTGCCTTCTCGTCCTTGCGGTTTTTACGAGTTGATTTTCACTTTTCTAGTTTTCGTCCATAAAAAGTAAACTCGTTTCATAATTGTATCGTCTAGATAGTTTTCCAAGTGTTTTTCTTTCGAATTACATTCGTAAATGGTTTTTTGTTTCGTTTATTTCGCGTTTTGCTGTTTGCTTTAAGATGTTTGTTTACATTTGACAGTAAAATTACGCGTTTTGGACCGCGGTCGATCACGGGAAAATAATGGACCGGCAAAAATGTTTCTGAGCCAATCAAAGCGCATCATTTAGCCGGAAGTGACACTTGCCATATAATAATCATCATCAATAACCAGTAAGATGTTAAGTTTGGTAAATATTGCGAAAGTGCTTAAAAAATATTTTGAAGTAGGTTAAGACTTTTATTCATAAAACAACATAAATAAACGTTTCCACTGATTGGTCCATAGCTGAGTTTGTATTAGTTTGTGTGAACTGATCTGAGCTCAATTAATTAATCAATCAAAGAGAATTTGCATATCAATCATGAATACATGTTAAAGGAAAAATAAAACATTTCTCTGAAACTTTCGCATTATTGCTATTTTAGATAAGAAATAAAGATGTTTTGTGTTGGCACAGGCTTATGCAAACCTTGGAGGCTCATGAGAACTCTCAAACAGGTGCACTGATCTGCTCTCAAGTTCTCCCAAAGGACTCTTCCGTTTGCATAAGCCCGTACAAACACAGTGAAAATCTTTTATTTCTTACTCAGTTCTATTTGTTGCAGAGTGTTTTTCATTGTACCTTATGTGAAGCAATGTCCATATCAGTGATTGGTGCTCCCTTATGATCTTGGATCAAACGGACAGTGAGGCCAGTAGCAGGACTACTTATGGCTACCACACCATCTGTACTACCACTCATAAAAACACGACCTATACAACAAATTCATTTCTAAGGTACGTCAAAATTGTCAATGTTCAGTTTGACCATTAGAGTTGAACTACAATTGGACTCGATGATTTTCATAACCAAATAATCAAATAATCTACCATCCTAAGTTATACTTAACAAACCCAAGTTATAAAAACAACACAAGTCAACATCCACAAACCCAACTTATCCTCAAACATTCCAATATTCCTAACCACATCAAGTCATCCTCAGCCATAACATTTTATACTTAAAAATCCCAAGTTATTCATAAGCTCCAAAGTTATCCTTAACAAGAGGACAACAGGGGGAAGATGAAGAACAAACTATAAGGTAGATACCACACATACCACTGTATACTAAACCACTTATAACACTGTGCTCTACAGGTAGATATCGCATACATCACAGTATACTATAGTTAGATACTAGAAATATCACTATATAACATAGGTGGATACCACATATACCACTGTATACTATACCACTTATATCACTGTATACTATAGATAGATATCACATATACAGGTGGATACCACATATACCATTGTATACTATAGGCAGATATCACATATATAGGTAGATACCACATATAGCACTGTATGCTATAGGTAGATACAACATATAGCACTGTATACTATAGGTAGATACAAAATATATCACTGTATACTATAGATAGATATCACATATACCACTGTATATTACATATAGATACCACATATATCACTGAATACTACAGATAGATACCACATATATCACTGTATACTATAGATAGATACCACATAAATCACTGTATACTATAAGTAGATACAACATATACCACTGCATATTATAGGTAGATACCACATGAATTACTACATACTATAGGTAGATTCTGCGTGTATCAAGCAGCGACTGGTCCTTACCACAGGAAGAAAAATTGATGACAGTAACGCCCCCAGAATGAGGATGTATTTTCATAATCATTTCAACTCTTCCAAGATCAAAGAGTCTTACGGTTCCATCATCAAAACCAGCCACGCAATGTGATGGTCTTAATGGTTTCTCCACTGGTTCCATGTTAGGATGTACTGTGGCTATCACTTCACCATCTTGTAAGACATTATGTGTTGGTTCACGTGGAGGAGTGGGACAGAATGAAACACAATTACAGCGCTATGGAGGAAAAGAATATATTAAACAACTGATAGTCAACATCGACTAAATTTTTAGAGATGAGTTACGTTTTGGTTCAGTGTAAGTGAAAGCTTTTATTTATAACATATACAAGCGCGCAAAAGATCTCTTTATCTGTGACATATGAAGAGCCTGAGCAGGTTCAAAGAGATCTCTTTATATGTGACATATGAAGAGCTTGAGGAGGTTCTAAGAGATATCTTTATCTGTGACACATGAAGAACCTGAGCAGGTTCAAAGAAATCTTATTGGGACATATGAAGATCCTGAGTAGGTTCAAAGAGATCTCTTTATCTGTGACATATGAAAAACGTGAGCAGGTTTAGAGAGATCTCTTTATCTGTGACGTATAAAGAGCCTGAGCAGGTTCAAAGAGATCTCTTTATTTGTGACGTATGAAGAACCTGAGGAGGTTCAGAGAGGTCTCTCTATATGACATATAGAGCCTGAGCAGGTTCAAAAAAGATCTCTTTATTTGTGACGTATGAAGAACCTGAGCAGGTTTAAAGAGATCTCTTTATTTGTGACGCATGAAGAGCCTGAGGAGGTTCAGAGAGGTCTCTTTATCTGTGACATATAAAGAGACTGAGGAGGTTTAGAGATGCCTTTATCTGTGACATATGAAGAGCCTGAGCAGGTTCAAAGAGACGCTCAAAATGATAGTTTGGTGGTGAACACAACTCTGTAAATTATATTATTTCAAAGCCTTGAGATCATAGCAAAATATCATGATTTAGCTAAGCGTTTATGGATAGTTGCATTTCAAGACGTCCATTTTAGTTTGCATCTTTTAAGCCGTAATATTGTTTCTAACTTACCAATAACATTAATAATAACAATGATAATATATTCAACCTATATAACTCAAAAGCACTAACTAGTAGTGTTGTGTGTCCTTGTGATAGATAAAATTGACAGATGTAAACCTTTAACTACAAAAAACTAGGTCCACTCTTTCTGAGTAAAGACCTTGTCAATGAAGGTTTATTATGGGTCATTTGCACGAAAAGTAAAACTGTTTAAAAATTTTTCCTGACTGTTTAAAAATCTCTTGAAAGAGAAGAATATAAGATTTGTAGTGAGCAATCACTGAAATAAAATATTGCTTCAAGATTACAAAATTTACTATCCAATGGATTACGCTATACGGGCTTCGTACAACCGGCCCCAGTTTTGAAAGTTGTGTCAACTCTCACCTTATTAATTACTGGCGGAAGCTCGCCTTGAATTCTCAACTATGCTTAAGACCTTACAGTGTAAGGCTTACACATAAAAAATATCAGAATTTATTTTGTAAAACAGAGCGATTTAAGAGCTCGTATTTCCCGACAATAGTTTTATATAAATAGCATATTTAATTTTGAATGACGACGAGAAACATGCTTCAATTCACCTGATCAACAACTTGAAATTGCAGCGTTTGTTCGAGATCATCAGAAGTCCAGACTCTCAAGCTACCATCATCGGAGCAAGTCGCAAAGAATTTGTCATCAGGACCGCTGGCCACCAGTGAATTTATCTAAAACAATCACGTGGTTGAAGATGGTTTAAATCCCTATATTTTCACTGGGAGATTAACAAAGGAAGTTACCTTCTCTGTATGACTGCTGACAAGACGAATAGACGTCCTCTCTGTCCAGTTAATGTACCATAACGTACCTCCAACTGTACCAACAATACCCTAAAGTACACACCACACAGCTCGAGGCAAGCAATTCACATGGAAAACATATTTTAGAACATATCGAAAACCTAGTTTTCAAAAAAAAACCAGATTCTTCAATTTCTTCCCTTTTATTCGCCATTCTTTAATCTTCCCACTGACGAAGTCTTACCATTTCCAAGGATGTGTCGAATGAAGCAGAAATCACTCCGGCGTCCAAAGACATTTCGTCTTCGATAACCAAACCATTTTGATTCAATCTGATAAAATATGGGATCAGCTTTCGCAAAAATGAAATCTAGAACGCGCTCTCGTGAGATCAAAACTTCATCAACCCCGCTAACGCAAAGTTATCACAACACAATTGAACTATTTCAGCAATTCTAAGTTGAAAACTTTCCCTTAGTGTCTGCGTGATAATCATCATGAAAAAATAACTGAAAAGAAACATACACATCATTCTCTCCGGGCAATCTCATCTCTCCAACGCCTACAACAGACCAAAGACGAAGATGCCCCGATGAGCTTCCGGTAATCAGCGAGCCACGATGACAAACAATTACATCTACGAAGAAAGCAAATAACGACTGTAGAACATAAATTCAAAATGAATTTCATAAAATTTATATCAGCATGACAAACTGAGTTGAAACCATGAATAATATGACAAAGAAAACACATAATATAAATACATTTTCTTACCGATTTCAGAATCGTCAGAAAGCCAGTGCATAAAACACTTGTTTTGTCTTGTATCCCAAGCGGATATAATTCCTAGAAAATCAAAAAAATCAGAAAAAAGAAAAATGATTTTCAAACACATAGAACGAGAAAGAGACACGTAAAGTCAACAAACATTTTCAATCATTAAAAACATGATCGTTTACTTCATGTAATATTAATGAAAAGTGAGTAGTTTTGACAAGGACTGGTGCGAGTTGCCACACAATACGCAATCAAAAAGAAACAAAACCACCTGTGACTTTGTATTAACATTTAAGTCAAGCTAAAAGAGCAAAGAAAATCTTTGGTAGCTACAGACTATAGTCTCCTTAAGAACAAAACATCAAAACCTAAGGATAAGCCATTGATCTTTAACGCTTGAAAACAAATTTATTGGGTCCATAGAAGATGAAGTGGACTGGAAATTTGCAATAAACCAAAATTTTATTGTTTCAAACATACCAACATTATTGCCTATATATAGCACATTATCACCAGCATAGCGGACACTTGTAAAATGTACCATGGAGTCATTCTGTCGACGAAAAAACAGCAAAATATCACAAAGACAGAGAAATTATAACGAAGCAAGTTTCAGATAAAAAACGAAGAAAACCTGCTTTGAAGTGTATAACAAATCATCGGGAACTTTCCCTTCGCAAACCTAAAAAACGAAGGGTCATCCTTCACAAATCTGAATAAAAAATGTGGAGTCCTAAATCTGGAGATCAAATTATGAAATCATAAAAGTATTTTCAAAAATCTGGAATCTTGGAATTTAGTACTAAAATCCTAAATCTTAAAACTCGAATGTAGAAAACGAATATCAAAAATTATAATCATTCAAACTTTTATAAATTGAAACGTCAATTCATAAAATATATATCAATATACGCACCAAGACATACACTATCCACCCTATGTTACCTCATGAGTACTTACATTCAAGTTGAAAGATCCACGAGATTCTTCCAGTAACCAAAACAGCACGTGACCATCTTGTCCGACCGACACAAACTCGTTCATAGTATAAGGATCCCATGCGATGTCATGGATTGGAGTTTTAGTATAGGACGATGTGAGTACATTGTAGTCCTTAGTACCCCATATTACCACGGAACACTCCCTGTAATCTCCGACTGAGATCAGAAAACGATCGTCTCTTGAGAAATGAAGGCCAACAATCTCATAGGAGTGATATGTCAGCATCTGAATATAAATATAAATGCTCTAATTTATGTCTCAATGTAAAGACTAGAGACCAACAGATCGTTTAAAAGAAAGCCATAAGTGGTTTGATTTATGATAGTCCGAAGAAATCTGAAGATGTGTCTGATTTCGTTAATCTCTGCAATTACTCTGAACTCAGATTATGTGTTGAGTCAAGACGAAAGGTTTCTTTAATGAGCATTATAAAATCAAACCGCTAATGGTTTTTTTAAAACGACCTGTTGAGCTCTGATCTTTATCTTGAGAATAGGATTCCCGCCTGGCACCTCGCTGGCAACAATATTCATGCTCAGATTAACATATCATAAAAGTTTTCGATAAATCAAGAAAAACTCAAATATTACAGAATTACAAGATCTTTTATCTACGACAGTAAAAAATTTGTGTCATAGACACCATAAAACGTTGAAATATCCATCTACCCATTAGCGAAGACAGACCAGGAATTTAGGTCGAGCTATAAAAATTTCAGATCATTGGCATTGTTTTTTACAGCGAGTGAACACATAAATAATTACATAGCATGAACAAGCTTGCGGGCTGGCTACGTCACTGCATCTACAACTAAATAATTACATAGCATGAACAATCTTGCGGGCTGGCTACGCCACTGCCTCTACACCTAAATAATTACATAGCATGAACAAGCTTGCGGGCTGGCTACGTCACTGCCTCTACACCTAAATAATTACATAGCATGAACAAGCTTGCGGGCTGGCTACGCCACTGCCTCTACACCTAAATAATTACATAGCATGAACAAGCTTGCGGGCTGGCTACACCACTGCCTCTACACCTAAATAATTACATAGCATGAACAAGCTTGCGGGCAGGCTATGCCACTGCCTCTACAAATAATTACATAGCATGAACAAGCTTGCGGGCTGGCTACGCCACTGCCTCTACACCTAAATAATTACATAGCATGAACAAGCTTGCGGGCTGGCTATGTCACTGCCTCTACCTTTTTACAATCACCAGTTGCAATATCCCAGATACAAATGCATGAAGCCACCGTCTTTGAAGACCCGGATGCCGAGGCAAGAACCTGAACATCGTGTTGAAGAGCTATTGTGGAAATCTCTTCAAAATGTTGCATGAGATGTTTTTGTTTTCCATCATGAAGATCTTCGATGATAACGATGCAGCCACTGGTGTAAACGAACAAACCTGAATAGGGGCAATTGTAACTGATCTCAATATATTAACATTCTGGTTTGTTGTTTAATACAGAAGCCTATCAAACTCGATAGTTAGGGAGCACCTATTCGTAAACGCAATTTCTGTATTCCTGAATCGAACACTGATTGAAACAAGTGTATTCGACAGGATTTTGCGTTTGAAAGCCAATCCTTTCAAAATTCAATTTGGGAAGAGGGATTTCGCATTTTAAAGCCAGTCCGTTCAAAATTTAAACAAAGGGAAGACGTGAAACCAACCCCTCTTCTACTAAGCAAAGCCATTGTTTGAATCCGTATTTCAACGAAGTGCATCGTACTTCCACTTTTTACTAAGAAACAAATACATAAGAGATCCTGAGTATTTCATTTTATATAGAAAAAATATTTTTCCGCCAAAGTTTAAAGGAATATGAAGGTTACCGGTGATGTTTCTTACTATCTAAAGTAACAAATCAGAATGCAGATTGAGCCCGCTAACCTGTTTCAGGATGCCAACACATATTGTTCCGGCCATCTCCGTTGTAATCAAGAACAGCCAGCAAAGCAAGTCCAGCCTGACTTCTGGGTGCCGTGTATTTTCTTTCAGGCAACGCAGTGGAGCTCTTACGTTTCTTGTAATGTTTTAGCACACCAGGGAATGGGTGACCTGTATCTGAGGGAAGCGAATTGCGGATCGGGGTCTGGGTCTTGATCTGAAAATTTTCAAAATGTTATTTAGAGGGTGACAGACAGGATACCAGAACTAAAAGACGCGTGATGAAATCGTTCGATTCGTTAAAGAGTACTACTCACAATACTATCGTGTTCAAACATTTCACTTTATTACTACTTTGTATATATTCTCACCAATATTATCTATTTCGAGCCCGGGAGTATAGCTGCAAGTTTGTAGATGTAGATCGTCCAGGTTAGTAAAGTCTTGAGAAGGACTGTTGTTGTTGATGTTGACTGATGTTTCAACAATCTTGTCTCTGAAGATGACTACCGCTAAGGTTTACGAAACGTCAATCAACATCAACATCAATAGTCCTTCTCAGGACTCAACAAACCTGGACGATCTACATCTGCAAACATGTAACTATCTATTTCATATTGTTTGACGCCTTCAAAATTTTGTCATCTTTTCTGACAAATATGAACACTCCATCCACGAAAGTCTTCTCATCTCTAACCTTAACCCCAATCTTAGCATCCAGGGCAGTTCCACCCCACTAAATCTAATTTCACTCAATCCCACTTTATCACCTAATGCACATCATTCCACCACATTGTCATCATCACATTTTGTAATCTAACACACTGTAAATATCTTACAATTAATGTTTATGTTTTTAAACTTCCTATATAATTCACAACTAGCCCGATGTCTCAAGTTAAAGATGAAATGCTATGATCAACAGATATTTCATTGATGCCTAGATAAAAAGTTATTTGTTGGGAGAGTATAGTTACGCTAAAAATTCATTTTTCGCCAGGCATATTAACAGTTACACATCATATTTTTAAAAAAAAATGATGACACCTTTAAATCGTTTGGACAGAATCTTTTTCGAATGAATGAAAACGAAATGTCGCGATCTTTAAAACAAATGTCCTATTCCTAAAGTAGAAGGCACTTATAAAAACAGTTTATCGAACACAAATATTCATTCCGAGAAATCGCCTTCCGAATAGACTGAGCAAAATATGTTCAATGCAACAAAAAGATTTCGTCATCTTTAAACGAGACCCACCGACTTCGATATCTCTGGAGTGTTGTTCGGAACTTTTAAATTTCTAGTCATAATAGGATTGAAACTATCGATGACTTTCATGTCTTTCTTAGACGGAGAGTTTACGACAATCTCGTCCCGTTTGCCTGGAGAACTGGGGAGAGGCTGCAGAGGTAATTCGGTCGCCATAATTGGAGGTCTGGGTTTGAGATCATATTCTCCAATGTCATCTTGTGTTGGTGAACCAGCTCCATCAAAACATGTGCAGTTTTATCTGAATTGAAAACGCAAGATTTATTCGAAATGTTGCAACTTGATATCCTTAAAGATCCGCTGGATGAATAGTGAAAATAGAGGAAAGAATTTTTCAGCAAGAACGCCATGGAATAGTGCATGGAAGTAGTACAAGCTGAGCTGGAAAGAGAATTTCTCACAGGCAACCTTAAAATCGTTATAGAAAGTTCTACAAGACGCAGTAAACTTAAGGCATTATGTGAAATCACGAGCTTTCGTGACATAAAGACTGTTGGTTACAGCTAGATGTAAGATTGCGAAAGTTTATGAAAATATTTAACATATAATTTTATATATATGAAAGCATAAAACACACCCGATTCATCTTTGTTGTAATCAATCGCTTCTTCTCTTCCACTAAGAAAAATGGCGAAGAAATGAAAAAAATTATAGCGAGTCGTAATCACTGATCTCGAAATAAGACTGGATCAAGCATCTAGCACAAAAGTTGAAGACAAAAAATAAGGAGCGCCACCATTACTAAGGGACCAACTTTCGAAAATAAGGAGCAAATGTATTGTGGATTTATATGAGAATAATCAAGAATTTTCAACATGTAACTACATGTACCTAACTAAGAGATAAATCAGTTTATAGATAAGCTAAAAATACGATGAATTATGATGAAATATGATCAAAATGCAGCGATTTTTGTCATCGGTAACTCTCTGTGATATGGAAAAACAATGGAAAATAGCCCACAACTGCATGGAAATACCTAAAATTGTTGGAATCGTAGTTTAGAAGTACAAAGTGATTAAATAATGTAATTTACTATCATAAACTGATCAATCCTTTAAAATAGCCTTTTTTGCAAGTGATTCGGAGTGAAATGTGTATGCGTTTTGTTTTATACGGCCGATTATTCTCTCTGACTCGCTTTACTATCTCCACAAAGGTTTTTTTCATCTTCTTCCTTATCTTAAAGAATAATTTGGCAATGTGTTGCTATGCTTTCAATAGTTTTGCTAAAAAATCTTTCGATGTGTTGGTCCCTTACTAACGGTGGCTTCAAAATTTGTTTACTACAAATATACAGTAGCTTGATCCAGTCTTTTTTCGAGATGAGTGGTCGTAATATGGTCGTAATGAACGTTTTTACAATCTGGAGATGAGTGGTGATTGGATGAGCTTCCGAGATTACCGAAGGCCAAATAACTGGTTATACCATTTAAGTAACCAGTTGAATCGTAGGCTTCAAATTTTAAGGGAGCGTTTTGGTAATATTCATGTCATGTTTGTGGATGTTGATGGTCCAGATTAGTAGAGTCCTGAGAAGGACTATTGTCGTTGATGTTGACTGACGTTTTGACTTCCTTAGCGGTAGTCATCTTCAAAGTAAAGTGATCTATGACATCAATGATCTATGTGATCTATGACTTCAATGATCTATGTGATCAATGACTTCAATGATCTATGTGTTCTATGACTTCAATGATCTATGTGATCTATGACTTCAATGATCTATGTGATCTATGACTTCAATGATCTATGTGATCTATGACTTCAATGATCTATGTGATCAATGACTTCAATGATCTATGTGATCTATGACTTCAATGATCTATGTGATCTATGACTTCAATGATCTATGTGATCTATGACTTCAATGATCTATGTGATCAATGACTTCAATGATCGATGTGATGTATGACTTGAATGATCTATGTGATCTATGACTTCAATGATCTATGCCATGAAGACACTTACAGAATAACATCAGTCAAAAAAATGCTATACTACATAAAAAATGTTTATACTAGCAGTTTTGGTAGTGCATAAATATCGTGAAATCTCTGTTGCGAATGTCAGTAAATAAAAAAACAAACAATATAAAAAAAGTGTGTTTACGTACCCAGGTTCCAAAGGAACGCGGCCATCTGCAAGAAAATCCCAGATAAATATCGCCTCTCCAATACTGACTAAAGCTTGGAGGTCTGGGGTAAAACAAACTTTGGAGACATTATTTGAATGGCCAATAAATACCTGTATAGAAACGGTTAAGATGTATCATAAAATAAAAACAATACAACGCGTGCGCTGATTAGTGTAGAGTTGTGCTTGCGTGCCCTGATTGGTGTAAAATTGTGTTTGCGTGCGCTGATTGGTGTAGAGTTGTGTTTGCGTGCGCTGATTGGTGTAGAGTTGTGTTTGCGTGCGCTGATAGGTGTAGAGTTGTGCTTGCGTTAGCCTGTAAACATATTTCCTTTCTTATTTAATAAAGGATAAGTAAATATGATTTTTAGAACTCAACTCTTCCTAAATGTAAATGTAATGTAAGATATGAAAGGTTTTGTATACTTTAGGAATTTCAGATAAGCCTTCTGCATGCATAACTATACAGAATAATTCATTGATAAGACAGTTTTTCGTAAGAAAGAAAAAGTATTTCTAATTAACACACACTAGCAGTATATATATATATATCATTGATAGTAAAGTCAGTCATGAAAAGTATTCGTGGTGTTTTCGACATAAGTATAAATAAAAATTGTAAATTAAAATTTACAACGCGCGTTGTTAGATGTTGAAGAAGTTGGAGCGTAAAAGATGTCTTCATTATGAAGGTTATCGTACCTGGAAATTCAAGTCCATTTTCATGTGATAGTCCCATATCTTGATAAGTTTATCACCAGCAGTTGCAAGAAATTGCCCAGTTTGGAAAGGATCAAGACTTGAACAGCTAGATCGATGAACGTTGGAAACCTAAGCAATAAAACATACTTCTAAATAAAACTTCATATAATTCTTGTCGGTGTGAAATTTTCATCATAACCAACTCTCTCCATGTCGTGTCAACCCCCTCCCTCTCAATCTTAATTATCTACTTCGCTCAATAACTGTCCAATAACTACATCAAGTTTAAACAACCTACATCAAGCAGTAACTGCAAACAAATTCTTTAAATGTAGCATGAAAATCCCTCCCTCTTAATCATTATTAATTACTTCGCTCAATAATTGTCCATTAAGTTACATCAAGTTTTAACAGCCTACATCCATCAGTAACTATCAACAGACTCTTTCTAGGTATCATAAAACCATCCCCTCCATCATTATTATCTACCTCGCTCAATAACTGCCCACTATGTGCATCAAATTTCAACAGCCTACAACCAGCAGTAACCACCAAAAGTTGATTTAACGCCATAGGAGAGTAGCACAATCTGAGGGCAGTATCGTCAGTAGTGGAAACATTTCCTGCATGTATTGTTGTTATATCTATACGTAGAACCTAGATAAGATAAACATTGTTTAATATCAATTAATCTCAGCTTTAGCATGTTCAAGACTTATAGATAATCTGTACCTATAGACTGTTTACATAAGATAACCTCAGCTTAAATATGTTGGAGATTACATAATCCCTACTTAAAAAACTGTTTAACACCATATAATCTCAGCTAACACAGTTGAAAATTATATAAACTCTACTTAAAGACTGTTCAACGTCAATAACCTCAGCTTGACCATGCGGAAAATGATATAATCACCATTTGAAGACTGTGTAACATTAGAAAATCTCGGTCTAAACCCTTAAACATATTGAAGATTAAAAAATCTCCAATGATAATCAATACTTAAAGAATGTTTGACATTCAATAATTACAGCTTAACATGTTGAAGATTAAATAACCTTCACCTAAAGACAGTTTAAGATTAGATAATAACGTGAATGCCGTGACACGAGTATAATATACGTACATAGTACAGTAAATGTATAATGAAGTAGCTACCTATTCTTTGCTAACCTCGTCCAAAGTGCGGCAGTTCATTACAGTAATCACGTATTCGAATGGACCAATAACAGCAAGCCGCTGACCATCATCACTGACGGACAACACATCGGGAGCGAAATGCTCCCCAGGTGCCACTGTATTGATAAGAATTCTTTGTACATTGAACTCTTCTGTGGAACCTTGGTATAGCACTAAAATTCCTTGCGATCCAGCACTGTACATGTGTTCACCATTCGGTGAAAAAGCCAGTCCTGTAATCATCCCTTTGTGTTCCTTATGCTCTGCTAGCATTGAAGAACTTGCTAAAACAAAGATGTGGTTTTCACTAGATTATGCAGACATCTACATTTTATTGATTAAAGCGTATATGAAACGAAATTTTTCTAAAGGATTTCTAAAAACTTTAATGGATTTTCTGTTTAACATCATTTTTCGCATGTTTACTTATGGATGTATACAAAAAGTAAACATGGTATTTGAATTTTTAAAACAATAAAATAGTTTTGACAAAACACAAGCAGGTTTGTAGTGAACAAACGAATATGAATTTTCGAATTTACATGTCACAAAAACTTTAATAATTTCAGAAGTAAGCTTGTAAAGGTGTTACAAGAGAATCCATTAAAATTTTAGGAGATCTTTTATTTAAGACAATAAAAAACTTCGTGTCATTGGCATATAAAATAACCCTTAGATGAACTATCCCTAACATGTACCAATACATCCCTTCGAGTATACCTACATCATATAACCCATAGTTGAACCACCCATAATACATACCATTACATCTCTTTGAGTATGTCTATATGAAACAACCCTTAGATGAACTATCCCTAATATGTACCAATATATACCTCCAAGTATACCTATATACAAATAACCCTTAACTGAAACATCCCTAATATATACCATTATATCCCTTCGAGTATACCTGTATCAAATAACCATTAGATGAATTATCCCTATATGTACCAATACATCCCTTCGAGTATACCTATATCAAAACACGCGAACTGCCCCATTCCGAAAGCCACAGACAAAGAGTGATTGATGAGGATGAAACGTCACAGTACAAGGATTCTCATTGGCTGCTCTAAAATCATACAATTGATTGAACGTGTCTAGGTCCCATACACGAATAGTTTCATCATCGGACACGGTCACGAGAGAACCACGTGATGGATCAAAGGAGCAATCGAGTATTTGTTTGGTATGAGATCTCATCAGTGTTTTGTAAGAACGTGTGGAGATGTCAAGAATTCCAATGCTACCCTAAAGGAGGGTTGAAGAACACAAAAATGTCATACACAGTCAAAAATAATTTATGGCTCACTACTAAATGACTAGTAGAACCATTGAACTAAAATACATGGAAAGCTACATATAATAGAAAAGCCTGTTAATTTTTTAAAGCCAAATTTTACACCCAGACACGCGAGATTACACCTAGACACGCGTGGTAATCAATCAATTTCCACTCCGCGAGAGAATCTCGAAACACTACACACGCGTGTCTGGGTGTAAGATATGGCTTCAATTATTTGCTTCAGGCAGCGTTCCATGTATTTTAGTTGAATGAGTAGAACTAAAATTTTGTTCAGTTAAATTAAGTTTTCATTGAAGATAACTCTCAAACTGACAGTGGACTTTCTAAAACAGTTTATTCACATCACTTTTCATTCAAGACATATTGAAGTCTATGATTGTACGATTTATAAAGAAAGTGACGTCACATTGCACAATGAGAATTTGAATTATCAGAAAATACGTATATATAGTATAAATACAATAAGCTACTTCTTGCTTTATAACTAATGTTCTTGCCACCATAGTTTTTCATCATCAGTCAAGAATTGATAACGGGACTGTGGAATAGTAAAAACCTTACAAATGAGAATATTGTTAACATACGTACCGTTACTGTACCGGCAAGAACAGATAAACAATTCGGATTGATGTCGATTGACGAGACAGCACCATCGTGTTCTGTAAAGGAAAGGAACAAATCAACAAATGCAGTAACATGAAGTAGTAGTAGTAACACACCGTCAACAAATGCAGTAAAATGAAGTAGCAGTAGTAACACACCGTCAACAAATGCAGTAATATGAAGTAGCAGTAGTAACACGCCGTCAACAAATGCAGTAATATGAAGTAGCAGCAGTAACACAACGTCAACAAATGCAGTAACATGAAGAAGTAGTAGTGAAAATGCTTTAGCGATACACACCGTTTTATCGTCAACAGTTTCGTACAGCCAAATTAAATATAGACTAGTTGGCATAAAGCGCGACTTAAGTGAGTCGAAATATGCTTTATAAACGACAAAAACTTCTTTATGCGGTGTCGAACGCTTATATATAAGCATTTTTTATCACTTAGAAATGACTTAACTACAATGTATGGCATTACGCATGCGCACATTTAGGCTTTTTTGAGCTTACGTCAATACTTAAATATTCAAAAATTGGAAAGGGGGTTCAAGGTGTTTACTTCAAAAGAGTAGGTTGTGTTGTTCATACTCGGTGGCTGTTTTGCTCAATATCAAGATATCCCAACCTTTGACAAAGTAACAGACACACATACCTGCCTCTAATATTACACCCGAGAAATCCAAGGGCCACAGCCTGAGATAGCCATCATCAGAGCCTGTCATACAGAAAGCATCTGTGACAGAGATGCAGTTGATACCAATTCCGAATTCACCCGGGTTCACGTGAACAAGATCCTCTCGGCTTCCGGTCGGAAGTAGTCGTCGCACCTTATGAATCACCATCAGTTCGTAGTTGACTTCAAAAATTATTCCACGGTTCGAAGAAACATATCTGAAAATTAAGAAACAACACTTGAAAAATCAGCTTTGAAGTTATCTTTCTCAATCATGTTGAAGTTCATAACATAGCTAAGTGTTCACTTGTGAATGAAGGGAAAAACACTAAATTGTTTGAGCGATAAAAGCATTTGGAAATGGGCTGAATTTCAATGAAGACATTGTCGAAAATTGCACCGATTTCCTGATAAACAAATTGAATAACAAGCAAAAATTATTTTCTATATATATAATATAGAAAATAATATACAACATACAACATACAATACAACATACAACATACAATACATACAACATACAATACATTGACAACATACAATACATTGAGTAAATTGAGTTACAATACAACATACAATACAACATTTGACAACATACAATACATTGAGTAAATTGAGTTACTATCGCGGTGTATTACAAAAATCAAATGCTCAGAGTAAAAAGTTGTGGTCACTGAGCGTGGATTTTGGAAAAGAAAAGTAGCTTTTATGGTTGTTGGGAAAGCAAAAATTTTAGTTAACTTAAACTGAACTTTCATGTTTCGCCATTTCAAAAATTAGAAACTGAATAATTAGTATTAGCCGTTCAAAATCAACCGACAGCCTTAGTAATGCCCCCGTGCAACAATCTTTCAACGCCAACAATACAAAGTCTTACATCATTCGATATTTCTTGTTGTTTCCATTTACAAGTTCGTAGCCAAAAGCATTATCGGTAAACTGGATTGAATGATGACTACCAAGATCCAGGGCAGATGAACGTACGGAGCCGTGACGAACCCTCCAGATTCGTATATTATCAAGTCCACACGATATCATCCTTCAAAATTCACATCAATTTGCAATAGTAAGAAAGCTTATGAACTGGAAAGAACCAATCTTCTTTCAAAACATCCCCGAAAAAAACCCAACCAAAATCAAGAAAAGTTTAGACTCAGACATACACTCTTCAGTTCTTTTATAAATTTCAAATATAAGAATAACAGTGCGGCATGAAAAATATTAACCAACTCAGTCAAAAATGCCAGTAACACTTTTAATCCAAGCAGACAGCAATCCACTCAAGAAAAACGGCGTTTCCTGCTTCTGATATGTAGCGTATTTTATACGCAAAAAATGTCAAGTGTTAACTAAAATAATATATTAATAGTATTGTTTCTTAAATAAGCAAAATGATGGTTGTAAATGTTTGGCAGTAGGTAAACAACATAAAAATACAAATTCATAGCAATACATTCACCTTGTGTCATCGAAAGGAACAATTTTGATTCGCATAATGTCAATGTCTGTATGTGCCTTGGCAACCACTGCAATTTCTCCAGTCCTTCCACAACGTGATGTATCCCAAACTACCACCATCTATACACAATTGTATCCAAAGTTAATAGAAACATAAAAGCATTCTATTGTGTATGCTTTGATTCGATTGCTATTCTACTCGCCATCATCTATTTTTTTAAAACGCTAGTTGCTCAAGCCGGGTAGCAAAAACAAACATGGCTGCCGACCATGTCTTTCCTAAAGTTTCAGGTGATAAACTTCAATGTTTACATTAGAAAACATTTATAGAGTTTCCACTAAACACAACATTAACATATTTAAATATAAAATAAACAAAAATTCCCATTACAATAACTAAGCATGCATTGAACAAGAGTCGTTTGCTTTTTAATACAAACAATGTCAACAACAACAAATGCATAAAAAATAAAGGAAAACTACAGCAGCATTTTTCTTTATATGAATACTGGTATACTCCACTGAACCAATTAGATTAATCCCTCTCGATTTCTATGTGATAGTTTATTTGAGCTTTGCTTTTATCAACATTCACATCATAGAAATCTCCGAGCTTGTAATCGAATTTTTAAATTGTAAGAACAAATTACAAATAAAAACATTCTTGGTTAAATATCATTAAGCGTATCCTGTTCTTCTATGAGCATCTTAGATCACTGCTTATGTTAGCTACCATTTCCAAACACAGTTTACACAAAAATTTAAACAAAAAAATTATACGCAAAAAAGTAAAGCAAAGTAAATATTTCTCACACATGATGAAAGTTAAGATAAAACCATTAAAGCTCAATTGGAATTAGACAGAAAACATTTTAGCTTTGAAATACGAATTACGAAATCCACATACGAAATCATGATAGACACTTACTCGCCTATATTTACACAACACTTTAATAAAATAGACAATTTTTCAAAAGAAAGACCTACATTTTGACTTTACCTGTTTACCGTGATTGTCTTTTCCACAACCGCACAAAACTCCACCACTATTTGAGAAACTATTGAAATAAAAATGGCGGGAAATTGTGAACAGAAAAAACTGGGTCCAAGTGAACATATAAGGTAAGACAGTTTTTAGGTAAACATTAGGTATACTTTAGTGAAGCAGTATTTTACTCGTAAACAAGCATGTCTGAAGCATGTCCGCATGCCTCCTAATTTAGCTAACGGTCCTAATGAAATTTCTTTGCGTAATAAGATTGATACTAGTTGAATTGTTGTATATAAAAAATTAGATAAGAGGTAGTATTCCAGTAAAATTGAGTTCAGTAGATTTACACAAAATGGAGATAAGGGCAAACCAGAGCCCTCTATGTGTAATTACGAATAGAGGGCTCTAGGGCAAACACCCAAAAATGGAGATTTTGCAATGGTGTTTCAACCCAGTGAGATAATGCATAGATTGTGAGCAGCTGTACTCTTCATTGCCTCTTTAGAACAGTAAACCAGCTTTGAAAACAGATTCATTAAACATGCGGTTCTAAAGACAAGCAGTTCTAAAAATAAAGTAAAAATCTAAAGAATCTGAATTTTCAGCTTTGAATGACGAGTTAACTTATTCAGCTGAACTCCCTTTTACCGATTTTGATCATTTAAGAAAGAAAAGATGTTCAGTGTGTTTGCACAGGCATATGAAAACCTAGGAGACCTTTAAGTTTCAATCCACAAGACAAAAAAAATTACTTGGAAACAAATCAAAATCATATTTCTCACCTTAAACAATAAAGTTCTCTCACTTGAGAGTTAAAGATCGCAATACAATCACCGGATTGATATCGCCACACACGAATCACAGTCGACTGTCCAAGTTGCCCTGAAGCTAGTATCGACGTGTTTCCATTGAAGGTAAGGGCAGAAACCTGCAATAAAATGAGCGCTAATGAGGAGGAATCCACGTGAATACAAGAGATTACAGTAATTCCGTATTCCAAAACACCCAAAACAGATTCCCAATCCAATCTCAAGTACGATAAGATTAAGGATTAACAGATCTTTACGCCTGCATTCTAAGAGCTCATTGAAGTTTAACGAGTGGATGATTCTCCTTGATTAGTGGAACTAACTACTCATTGAAATTCTACCTCGAACGTACTGAGTACATTGTATTGAGCATGAGTGAGATTTTACTAGCTTTTTTAGCAAATGATTTCAGTTAATAATATAAAACAAAAATCTCCAATTACGTTGTTTTACATTAAACTAATTCATTTAAGCGAACAGATTGCGAACATAATAGCAGATCTCAAGTACATCTACATGATTGCCCAATAATATAAAGCAAAATTGACCTTGTCGGTGTGACCAATGAAGAATCGTTGATGCCCCGTAGATATCTCCATGGAAACAATCACGGCGTGACATGGATACACGACGCATGCGCCATTCTTTGTCCAAAATAATTCCTTGAAATTCGCTCCACCGTAGCCAACAATATGTTTCAATTTCAAAATCGGATCTGGTTTTAAACTCTAAAAATGTCAACAAGTCGTAAATCCCAAGAATATAAAGATGAATATAAACTACTTTGCAATAGTGAGTTTATTAAGAGACGCAGCTAAACCGCAAGTTTTAGTCCTTTGGTAAGCCTGGACTATTTCACAACACTATCATTATTCATTTCTTTAGAGAAAAAATTATATAAATGAACTAAATAATGAGGCTGCCTTAGCCACTAAGTCTGGGTTGATATTTAACCCGGGTCAGACTGCAATAGGTGGTTATGCTTACACAAACCATGATTAGAAATTATTTTTAAACCCGATTCAGCAATTCTCAGCCAGGGTTGGCTCGAACATAAAGTCAAACACAAGCCAACCCGAGTTTCCATAAAGAAATGAGCTAAATTTGACGCTCTAACACCTATCTAACCCGGGTTCACACAGTTCTTGAGAAGGGTGCCACGGTTAATTGACCCGGCTATCGTGTAAACGTTAATAGGCGGGTATTTATTAGTAGACGGGTTGACCCAGGTTGGCACATCAACCCGGGCTCGTGTAAACGGTGCCTATGTTTAATTAAGATGAAGGTAAAAGTTCATTCCTTTAACAGTTGTGCTGTGCGTCTTATTTTAACAGATGGAAAATACTTCCAGATGTCAACCTTGTTCCAAGATCTTCCTGATATGCAACTGTAGAATAAATGATGGAAAATCTCACCTTTATTGAACGCCGACTTCTAAGAGTCTCTCCCTCTTTCCTTGTCGAATGTCTCTGTAAAAAATATAATTTGAGTAGATTCTCGTACGTATCTTCCTATGAGTATGACAATCATTTTATATCTATGGTAACTTAATACAATACTGCACAGTTTCCATCATAACTTTGCACTAATAAAAAAGATGTGAGATGCAAATACAGCACATTCCCGTTAGTTTCTAAGAAAACAAAAATTGACAATAGCTAATAATAAAACACATCTTTTATATCACACCTTAACTCTGTTTTCTTTATCCTTTTGATGATTACTTGACGATAAAGTATCGATATTTTTCCTCGATTTGTAAGCGTACACTTGCGTATCAAGGTGATCTTGAGCTTGGAGACCAACAGGGATGTTCAAACCCACTGGTGGCACGTGCGTTGCTACTACTTGACGTCGCTGGAAAAGACGATAAGATACATAGCAAAAATTAGTTGAAACATTGGATCATGGCTACTTCTATAGGATCATTAACAAGATCCAATTTTTTTTTCCGATCCCAAAAACTCATCTTGAGAATTCATATAGCTAAAGTGAGCTTCCGACAGTCAGATCAATCAATCTAAAAAATCGGATAGAAATATAACTGCTCTATTTTCATCCGACAAGATCAAAGGAAGCCGACTAGCCAAATTACATAGACTAGAAAATATCTTGGAAACAAGAACAAAAATACCAAAACTATCTCGATAAATGTACTGGATATAGCAGAAGCTGCTCACACGACTTTAAATATCCAAACGAATATAAATATCAACAAAATTATCGGACCTTCTGAACAAGCAACCAAAAGTCGGAACCGAAAAAATCGGATCCGACAAATCGGATGGTGTGAACGGGCCTTATGGCTTCATAAAAGTTTTTAAAGTATTGATAAAAGTTTGCTTCCCATATTATTCATACCTTTGCAGAAGATTTATTAGAGCCCAGCTTTTCCACCAATGCAAGCCTTGAAGACAATGCATCCTGTTGCTGACAAAAAAAAAACCAATATGATCTTATTTCTCACACACATTACCAAGTCACGTCATCATGCAACTCTCAAGGACATCACGTGGCTCGAGTGACGACATCAAACAATCTCCATGTGCCATGTTTGCACTCAGTTGCAAAGCCAACCCGATATTTTACTCCTACAATACAGATTTCTCACCAAAATTATTATTCATTTCTTTAGAAAATCAATTCCATTCATTCCCTTCCCAGTGATTGAGCATAAAAATATTTGCATTGTAGGACTAAAAAACGGGTTGCCTTCGCGACTGCTCATTTGAAAATAATCACATCAATCTCCATGGTGATGCTTGCACTTAATGATTGTTGTTTGGGGAGACCGACAATAAGCTTCACATAATTCTATTGAATTACCGTTTGTTCTTGTTTCTTGTAGTCGTCGGTCACTATTAAATCCATTCCATCATCATGAATGATCCCCTTCTTCATAGGTTTGCTCTTCCCGGGAAATTTTATGACGTCATACAACTCGTGCCAGTCCATACCTTTGGGCACGTGGAATGCCATGTCACGTGGTACTGGTACGTCGCCAGTCGTCATTAGCCCCAGTCTTCTGGCTTCGTTGATTGTGAGTCCTGGTTCGTATTCCGTGTCGCTCGTGTACAGTCCTTTCACGAGCATGTTCGCGCATAAACGAATATTTTTCAAATAGGCGTATTGCTGATTGAGGAAAAACGAGATGATGTGACGAAGGTCCATCATTAGGAATGTATAACGTGTCGATAATGATACATCACCAACATTTTCTGAGAAAAAGGACAAGCGTGGATGAAGCATTTTACTTCCTGGAAGCAAATTTCAAACATAAAATACTGTTGGTGAAATTTTAATTTGATCAGGGCCGTAGCTAGAACGTTCATTGGGGGTATTCATGTATTTAGTTGTCCCCCACTGACTTATTTTGAAAAAAGCTTTCTAAAGAAATCAGTCGGCACAACTGATTACATGAACATACCTCCATTAACGTTCGAGTTGCGCTCCTGACTTTGATGACCATTGAAAACGATAACTCACAATCGCATTCAATGATTATAGCCTGTGAACTTCTTCATTGTTTACTTTACAGTGTTATATGTGCGTACCTGGGACCGGTGGCACGAAGCTTGAATAGCGTTACCATTGAATAGTCAATTTTCAGCATTTGGGAATATCCCCCTTACAGGCAACCAAGTTTCCAACCCTGCGTTATCGAGCATTCTTGCTCACATTAACGCAACTAGACACAACCCCAACCTAGACGACTTTAAAATAATTTCCTCTTCTAACGATTCCTATGAACTCTCCATTCACGAGGGCCTTCTAATCAATAAATACAAGCCTTTACTTAACGTGCAAGGAAGTTCCATTCCACCTAACCTCTTTTAATTTCACTATATTTTACTTCTTAACTTCCTTATCATATTATCCATTTGATCATAACACCGCCTCCTTTGGTAGTAATTTAACACATTTTTGTAAATATAATATCTTGTCTTAACATCCTATTAATAAATTATTAATTGTCTGAAGATGTCTTGAGTAAAGACGAAACGTCACAATAAATTCAACTTTACAACTTTTGGTCTATTTCTATGGCTCTAATTAAAACTTTATGTTGGGCATTAATTTTTATTACACGAATTCGATTTCCGCTCGACAAGTCTCTCGCTACTATAGTAAATTTTGAAACATGTAAAAAAGGTGTTTATGTTTTCGTTACGACAAAGAAACTTTGTAATCTTAGAAGAAATATTCTATTTCAGTGATTGCTCAGCTCAAACCTTATATTTTTCCCCTTTTTGAAGTTTTCTAACCGTTTGAAAAAATTTGTTATCTAATGGATAACGCTATCCTGACTTCGAGCAACGAGCACCTGTATCCCAAATAAATTAACGTTATATTTTAGAAAGTTTTCTTGCAAGAGACAAAATATAATTTCCTTCTAGGAAATCCTGTGAAAAATTTCTCGGGGACCAGCACCAGCCAGTGCCAAAGCCAGACTGCAAGCTGTGTCGATCTATTTAAAATTTTTGATGTTCACACATTGCATAAACTATAGATTTCAAAACAAATGAATAACAATGCTAATAAATTGAGTTTCATACAGTATGACAAAACTTGAAGAAGGGATCGGCATTTTTCAAGCTAACAGACTTTGTACATTGAACAACTGATATATATTCTAATTGTATGATCATTAAAGTGCTTATGACATGACAATTATATGTTAGTACAAAATGAAGCAAACTCTGAATAAAAAGTTCATGTTTAACTCAATATTTGAGAAGAAAACAAGACAATTTTTATTTTCAAATTTTTTTGTTGAGAATTTTTATTTTCAAATTTTTTATTCGGAGTATGCTTTATTTTTTACTACATAAATGAAAATTAACCATGCATTTTTTTATTGTTTCACAGAAGACGTAAAATGACTTAAAAATTCCATAAATTGATTTGTATGATTTTACATCTTTCTACAGATATTAAACTTTGTTAATTATGCAGAAACATCACTATGACATCACATTGCATAGTAACATTTCAAAAACCATCAAAACTTTGGCATCGCAAAAACATTTAATTTGCACATACAACAGTTTAATAAATAAAGGAGCAAATGCATACGTCCTTAGATGCCAAAGTTATTTGCATAATAAACAAAGTTCAATACCCCAAGCAAGAGGTAAAAATAAACAAATTCTAATCAAGAAGTCATTAAGTCATTTTAAAGGGTCTTTGTAATGCAAATATGAAATTTTGTGTTGAAACTTGGTTTCATAAGCACTTTAAAAAGTAGAAAAAATGATGTTGGCTCAAAAAAGCATATGTAGGTACCATGATTTGTATAGCTTGCCAATATTGCCTCGTCCAAAGAATTGGGGGGTGGTCGAGGTACAAATGGAAATTGCAACCATGTTGATGTGGACTTGAATTCTTTAAAAAGGTTTGAAAACGAGATACGTATTGCAAGACCATCTTCAGTTGCCACATCAATGTGTGCGACAAAAAATTTGCCTGATATTGGTTTAAACAAGATGTAGAGATATCGACCAACCAGCCCCAGTGATTGCGTAGATGTTCGAGGAAACTGAATGTAGTTGCCTGCAGGAATTGAGCCTGCAATGCGATACACAGTACATTTCAGCTGTTTGTCCTGTAACAATTAGAATAATTTGTTTAAATAAGTTTATTTCAGATACTCGATTAGATAGTGTGGTCAAATCAAGAACCTAAAGATCATTGAATAAATATGATTTAGCCTGTTCATCAGATGTATAGCTTGGCATGTACACAGACTTGGTACTGGTCTGTAGTGGAAAAGCCAGCTGAAACTTTAACTTCTACAAATTTTTCAGCAGAATTATATTATGTATTTCTTTTGAAAATTAATTCCATTTATTATGTTTCCGGTGATTGGTCACACTAATATTTCCAATATTGGGGTGAAAAATAGGCTGGCTTTGTCACTGCTTCTGTGAGACAGTTGACAAGTTTAAATTTACAAATTAAACTAAAATTTTCATTATTTCTCTTTCTGAAACAGTGTTAAGTTCAAAGTAATTTGTATGATGCATAAAATTACTGGCGGGAGAGGAAGGGGGGGCTGGCCAGATGGCCAACCCTTGATTAATGATTTTTGGAGTGAAGCAGCTCATGTACAGCCCCCTGGTTTTGCCATAAACGACGCCTGTATCCAAAATATTTTTCCTAGAAAATTCTTGACCTCAAGTATAGCACTTTTAAAACATTAGACAATTTACAATCATATATTTTACCATAATTGCTGTAACATCGCCTTCTTTTGCACATTTCTTCCATTCTGAAGTGTTATAGTGTTTGAAAAGATTCACATAAGGTTTCTGCCATACTGTGGGTGTTTAAATATGATTAAAGGTCATCATTGATGATATTATACCAGCTGTTTTGCTCATGTACATATATAATGCTTATTGCATTTGCCAAAGCAAATAAATGAAATAATATTAACATAGTAACGAAATATAAACATCAGAACGAATGAAAGGATTTTACTTCGTAATGTCACTTACGTTTGGACATTTTTCATTACAACCTAGATCCTAGAATTTACAGACGATGTCTTCCTCTCATCTATGATCTATTCACGTCCATGCAGTACATTTTTGCGATTTTTTCTGCCGCCATTTTTTTGAATTCTTTATAGTTGACTTTTTGGTCTTTGCAACGTACTGCGCATGACTTCACTACTCAACACAGCACACCCAAACAGAGCAATAGAAATAACTTTCAATAGAAAAAACAAGAATTTGAAACAAAATAATGGGTAATATTTCGTCTTTATTCCAAAGACATCATCAGACTTCATAAGATGTCTTTGGAATAAAGACGAAATATTACACATTATTTTGTTTCAAACTCTTGTAATATCTTGAATATCAAGAAAACGAGATGTCCCTCTTCGGAATTTGTTTTATTTTGTATTATTTGAAATTGTCTGCTTGTCCTGGTTATGCGCTTCTAATGTTCAGTGGTTTGACCCAGTGTTAGTCAAAAGAAATTCTAATCGCTAATTTCAAATTCAAAGTACTTTAAGATGAAAATTACGAGACATGATTTTCTAAAGACTAACATCTTACCAATAGAGTTGTCTATAAGGTGCTTGCATGTAAATAAATCCACGAATGAAAAGCAGTAAATTATTTTCACGTACTCTAGATCCACCATTGAAAATGATGACATTCATTTTCCTGGTAAAAAAGGGCGCTAACTGCTAATTCTAATTGGTACTAATCATATATTTCATACTTCTTGTCATATATGTCAATGATAATATATCAAAAAACTACGGTGACAAAATCTCTTGACGTTCAAAAACCGAAATTTTAATTAATGACATTTAAATGCATGATAAAAACTGTCCTAGTCATACGTATGTAATTTACGCAAACAATTCAAACGTTCCTTTGAAGATAGGCACATCAAAATTATGTACAAGTTTAAAAGCAAGCATTAAAAAATCGCTGATACAGCTTGACCATATTTTACCCCAATGACACGCCCCCCTAAATCTCATTTCAATTTTCTACGCTTTTTCGTTTTCTTTAACTTTGCACAACCCTTTCCGTACCATCCTGCTCCCAAAAGTCCATGGTCAACCCACCCTTCCATTTCATCGACGTCGCCCTCGGTGTTGTTTGCCAAACAAAGTTTTTCTTTCTCTTCCTTGGACTCAATTTTTTGACAAGCAGTGCTGCTTCAAGTTCAAGATTTTTGGTGCTTTTTGTGTTTATTTCGTGTTTTCGCAATGGAGTAGACAAGTGAAACATTGGATCCTTTTGCCTGAACAAAAAAGGGAAAATCTTATAATCTAAGTTGTTATGACTCTAACGTTATGAAGCTAAGGCATATTCGCAATAAACGTTGGCTAGGCATAGCTACGTAGGACAAGTAGTACAGAGGTCTCGACCAAGGCAAAAGACTGTGGTACATTCCCCGTCAGTGGCATAGATACCACACAAGTTCGTTCTTGCTGCATGTGTAAATATGGCTGTCTTAGAGCAACATAATATTCATATTTCATAGATATTTCATAATATCTCATACTTCATGTTATTTCATAAAAACACTGGTGAATAATCGCGCGAGAGTAGCGGCTGAACTAAGTTACCATGCCTGGTACTTATAAAGAAGTCAACCCTCAGCTACTGTCAGCCTAGTAGAAACAAATACGATCATAAAGACCAATCCACCTTTCTGACGGTAAACACACGTGTCAAAAATACGAGATCAAATTACAAAATTCGAACAATCAAATGTCGGACACAGTGTTGATGAGTTTAATATGCAATTGTCAAAACGCAATCTACACGCACCAATTTTAGAGCTCTTTAAGAAATTAATTGATAATTAATCTGAGCATGCGCAGTCGACTTGACCAGCTCCTTAGTTCATGGTCATGACAACGACCAACTGCATCTAATAGCACCGATTTTGAAGTAAATAGCATGCTTTTAACAATTTAATGGAGAAACCATCTGCGCATGCCCACTTGACTAATTGTTCATAGTCATGGCAACGACTTACTAGATGTATTTGCACTACATTTGTGGCAATTAGCTCGGTTGCATAGAATAGAGAATAATAGAAGGGCAACTCGCAGGTGAAACGCGTGGCATATTTTCTGTGCGCATGCGTTAGGTCCGCCATTACTCTGGCCAGTAACTTGACGCTGGCGTACTATAAAATAATATTGGAAAAGTGCGATTTGGGGATAATAATCGCCTAAAACGCAAACTGTTTTGGAAGATCATGGAATTTTGTGACAAAACGTGAAAGAAATAAGGTGAGAGACCATTATTTAATTCCTCGCAAGTCCGTAAAGGTTTTTTATTGGTAAAAATTACATGTTTCAATGTAGGGTGTTTATGTTACTGCCTATAGAGTTGTCAGTATGTTAGGTGAATAGAAGTCCAGAAGTAAAATCTCTTGCGTTTTCGTCCTTTCTGAATTATAAATTTCAAACTTTTGAGGTGTTATTATAAATGTATTATTTAAAACACAAACTTGTCAGAGTTTTACTTGTACCAACGCTGTAATATTTCAGGTTGCAACTTGCCAACTTGCTGAACTATAAATCAAGTTAGTCAACCAGCTAACCAAGTAATCCAATATTGATTCATGATGCTTGTGTGTGAATTATAACTGATAATAATTTGCAACATTCAGTTTCAAACCATGGAGGGTTTGTTTATCATTTTAAGCATGAGTGAAATGTTAATATGTTAATAGTTGCGCATTTTTAATACCAAATGTAGTTTTAGTGAGGTATACACTCTGTTTGCCTTATTTATAAATTTTGCCTTGTTGTGATTTGTGCTCTATTAAATTTATTGCAAATAGTTATGACTTATTTTCTGATATTTTTTTCTAGTTGTTATTTTGGCATTCAGTTCTCAAGTGAGGATTATGTTGCAAGTGTCTGGTGTTATGTAGTTTTAGTATGTTGGATTAGATTTTAGTGGCTACTGGTTGCAGTAGCATGTTAAACTTTGTTTGTTAAATTCTATTACGTTTTTATTATGATTGGGCGGTTTTTGTAAGGGTGCTCTATTAAACATTGATCACAATTTCTTCAGCTTAATTGTTTAGTATACCACTATTTATAGAGAAATTAGCATTTCTTCTGCACCCCCATCTAGCTTAAGCTAGGAGGGCTGCACACCCCTCTCTTATATCCATCTCTGAATAAAGTTGTCATTAAATTTTTTAAATGTAAATATGTGTACTGAATTGCTGTATTTTATTCTGTATATTCTATTGCATGAAATGCACACATTCTAAATTTAAACTGTTTTGTGTTAAAGATTTTTGTGCACCATGTAAATCTTTAATGACAAAGACATGTTCTTAGCCTTGTAACCATTAAGAAAATATAATATTTATTATATTGCTGTTATTTTGTACATATTTTTCACTCAGAAATGTCTTTATCAAAATAAGTTTCCAATGTTATTCAATTCTCAAATCGCCCAAAGCATTGTATATTGGGTTTGCTGTGGATCTTTCTCACGTCTCACGTGTGCGTCTCTACTGCAACTTTTTGATTCGAGATTATAAAGTTGTACTTTTTCCAAAGCTATTTTTAACTGTTTTCGAATTACAAGGAGCCAAATGTTGCTACTAACATAATGAGGGAAAATGCCATTGCATATGTGTCTGGTTTTCTTCTAATGAAGAGTTTCAAACTCCAATCTTCTCTGAAATGCACCAATGCTCTTTCATCTACAGAACTGGATGATAGCAGAAAGTTCTTCTGCCACTTTAAAGCATTCGATAAAAAAAATCTGATTTAGGAGGACTACAATCACCATCTTCTCCTTATCTGGAATACATCATCAAACTTGAAGACACATTTATTAAGACGTTTTCTGTCTACACAAAGAGCGAAGGTGTTGGTCGAAGTATATTAGACACCGTCAAGTCCATACCAAAGGAATTTGATTGCTGTACGGAATTCCCATTTGAGTTCTTGCAGAAAATTTTTGTAAGAATGCGTATTTATTACGCTGTAAAATTGGCGAACCGCATATTCGCAACAACTAAAAAGAAAGACAGAAAGTACATTAAAGTCACACACCTTTGAGGGCTTTGTGCATATAATTTTTTGTCCTTTATAAAACTAAATTGAAAACAAAAGCTTTTTATATCACAATGATATATTTAACATGTAATACATCCAAGTTCATTTAAGTCCTCAGGACTTGTGAACCTCAGAACCTGTTCAAGCTTTCCGACTGAATTTCGCTATAAATATATTAAATAAATGCATTTGTTAAATGATATATACAAAATACTTGCCTTTTTATTTCAATTTCTTTCAAAAAGATGCCAAAAACAGCCAACAGCTCAAAAAATCTACATTTTAACCCACTTTACGGCTTCCACTCCATATATTTTCATAGTAAATGTTGTACACTTTACTGGCCAGAGTAATGGCGGCCGTCACATTTCCGGTATGCGCGAAACAAACTGCGCGCCACGCTTACATCAAAGGTTACCGACGCGAGTTGCCCTTCTATTATTCTCTATTCTATGTCGGTTGGTCGCAAATTATCAAAGAAATCATCTGGGCATGCGTGGTAAGGATTTCCTGGCAAAAAGGTTTCGGTGTAATGATTAACGATAATGTGCTGTAATATGCCACTACAAATGATGCGCATACTTTAATTGTTATGTTAGTTTTTCTGTATTGATTAACGTAGTACTTTTCTTTATCTCAAACACAGGAAACTTAAATGTATACGTAAACACCTTTATGAATTAATCTTTATTCTAAAGTATAATTAAGAATATAAAAATTAAATAATCAGTTTATTGCAATATTAATTAAATTCGCCAGAAAGTGAGTATGTATAATCCAACATGGTCAGGAAAAATATTTCAAATTACATTCACATAAAAAAGGTTTTTAAAAACGGTATCTTTGATTCCTTCCGGGCTACTAACCTTTTCACAGACTGTTTTTGCAGTTTAAAACTGTTCATTGATTTGGTTTTCTTTCACTGAAATTTTAGAAGCTCTTGAGTTCGGTTTGTTTTTCAATTCGTCATTCGACTTGACAGCAGCATGCACTTGAACAGGGACATTGTGGAATGTTTCGAGAAAATACACCTTGCGATCACCAATCTTATAAAATCGTTCTGGTTGTGGTCTTGGCCATGGTTGATCGTACCAATGTTGACCAACATTTTGAATAAGTCCCAAGCATTCTGTCCTTGAAGGCTCATAACTATAAATCTTTCCATTTACCAAATAATCATATACATCACTACCCATTGGACTTTTCGAATCTGAGGAGTCACAATTTAATTGTTGAACGACACTTGAATGGGAATCATTTATCTTAATTGTCTGACAGTTACCAACTTTACATAACATTTCAAACTTTTTGTCATTCGACATAATTAATGGATATTTCATTGCCTCTTTGGCAGATGGTCTGTCTTCGGGTCGTAGATTTGAAATCCACGACAAAAGGTCTTTAAGTGCCTCATTCAAGCCTTCAGGTTTTCCATTCAACATGTTGATTGGTCTATGTGTTGTTGTTCGAAAGGGATGTTTCCCTTTTGTTGAAACATAATACATTACCATTCCTGCATTCTAAAATACAAATGTAATAACAACAACAAAATTTCATATGTCTTAGAACCATTCTTCAATATTAGACTAATGCCAAAGTCAGCAATCATAAATTTGCCTTTTTGACCTCGGTGCAATATTTCTCCGCATAGACCTCACGCTCGTTTATTTGGAGCTTGATAATTTAGTTATTACGTATTTACGTATTTCAGTGTTTTATAAACTACTTTAATGTACTTTATATCTTTTCTGCAAATTTCTATTTCACATGCTCCTTGTGAAAATTAACATAATTCGATGAGGTAAACGTGTTTGAATGAATATTTCATTCCATCTAAATTAACATAATTTTAACAAAAGAAGTCCAGTTTTCGAATGGAACGGCGTGGTATAATTATAATGAATCAACCAAAAATGCTCTGGTATACGAAAAATTGTCAATAGAAGCTAGCTTTCGAATTCACTCACGTGTTATAAATTAGCCAACATAGACTGAAGTACACAAGTTTACGAGTAACAACCAATGAAATTCCAGTTTTCAACATCACTGCTGTGATAGAACGCCAAACGGAAGGTAATTATTTATTGACTTTCTTAAGTACAGTAAGAATAAATATACTTCAACTCTTGTTTTAGACAAAAAGGTATGTTGAGTTTTTCAACGTTACTATAAGACACAAACGCTTTGATTGTGAGTAAACACAATGTTTGTAAATCGTAGACAACAGGTAACTTCCAGAAAAAAACGCGGGGATGAACATTTGTAACTGAAGCAACTTGACACAAAGTACCAAAAAACGAGGTCAGACATTCAAATTTCGGACACTGTCGATCAGGTTCATCAACGCAATCCAACGTGTAACAAATTTCTCCAGAACGCGAGCCAATAATGAACGTCTTAACAATGTAATCAATTGGACAAGCTATGGTAACAGCAATAAGTTTTCCGTCAGGAGAATAATTGATATCATTAAGCAAATCAAAGTAATTGTGATGTTTTGGGTGAACAGCCAACCTTTTTCGATGGGCTAACTGGAAATTTTCAAAATTGTCAGAAAGATTTAAAACGCGCCACACACAAAACAGCCCGTAACGATCACATATTGCAAATTCCCACGGCCAAATGCAGGATTGTAGCAGCATTTTTCAACTGCTGAATAATAATCGTACACACGAACGCGTTGTAGTAGTTTTAGACTGTCAACATCAAAATAGAACAGTTCACCATCAGTGCTTCCTGCCAAAAGACGGCTGGCATCAGGAGATAGAGCCAAACAACTAAAGCCATCAGCACGATACCGCGCTCGCAAATCTATATAATCTTCAACACCACTTTCATTCCCACTTTCACGTCTTTCTTTTATCACTTGCTCGTCACGCTCATTTGCCTCAAAATCCGTATTAAGAAAAGGGCAACCTAATTGAATGCAATCAACTCCACTAAATTCAACTTTAAGATCAATCCATTGGTCGGGTCCGTCTTTTATAGATTCTTCTACGTTCCACAAACCGTCTGGTAGTTTATACACACGACACCAAAAACGATCCAAGTCATGGGGAATATCAGGATTCAAACGAATAGTGACGGCAATTCTCTTTCCATCTGGGAAGAACTTAAGTTGAGAAGTGCGAGCATGAAGACAGTTTATGCAATATACCGGTTTCGGTAACTTTCCGACCTGATGCTCAGGTAAGGCAAAAACAATCAAAGCAAAATTGGTAATATGATCTCTAAGACGACGACTGAGTGCTGCACTTGCAGCTATTAAAGAACCGTCCCAGGAAACGGACCATTTTGTATCTGGGCAAAAATGTAACACATATTTTTTCGATTTCTTTTGAAATTTTATGTCCATGAATTTCTTCACATCAGATTTAAAATCTTCACTGATAAGTCCTAGTGCATCGCTCCTGTGACTGTACAAGAAACTTTTCATTGATGAAAAATAACACAAACAACGTATTTCCATATTTGTTTCAATGTTGACAACATGCGATGGCAAAATACCGTCTAGTTTCTAAATAAAAAAGAGATGTTTTAATCTTAATGTGAAAAGCTCACCAGAAGATCAATACATTAAATATTTTATTATTTATACCTCGCTCATACATATCTCATATTCAGGAAAGCTGGGAGATGACGAACGTTCAGATTCATCATCAGATGAATTGGAAGACATCGCGCAACTCTTTTCCAAAACCTAGAAAAAATCGATTTTATTTCGAAATCGCTACCATTCTCCTCTCGGAAGCATGATTTTGCGAAAGAGTTTGGACACAGGAAGTAAAATTTCCTGGTGTCCGCCATTTTTGTTTTAAAAATAAGCAAATATCTGGCAAATATAGAGAATTGAATGGTGAAAAGACAAATTCTCCGTTTTGTTTTCTTATTCACGAATAGACAGCGATATGGTTTACTTTAAAATCGGAAAATCGTCAAGCTACGTTCTTAGTTACCTGGCGCTCGACGTTTTACCCTCAACTATTTAACTGAAGCTAATTTTCCAGAGTTTTGGAGATAAAACAAGTCAATAAGCGGAAACTTTCAGTGCAAAATATTCCCCCGTTCAACGTTACGCAAGTCACCCCTTCCACATCAAAATAAAATCATTTGAAATGGTGAATAGTTTAAAATGCAATTGGTAAAATATTCTTTAGAAATGGTCAACGAACAAGCGTCATTTTAAGTTACCTCGAAAATGAAATAGGCTGTTGCATGGCCTACTTCAATTACACGGCCTGATATCTTGCCATAGCAAGGTAAAAATGCAAGGCCATTGAATTTTCCGGCGGTGCTCTTCGAAATTTTGATCTTCTTCCTTCAAAATTGTTCATTGGCCTTACTTTATGGTATAATCTTGTAGCTAAAATCTAGCGATCATTTCAAGAGTTTATTGGCTGAAATGGTCCATTTTTCGCCGAGAAATCAAAGTTTATAAATTGGTGCGATCGGCGGTTGTTTTGTTTATCACGCGCTCGTCTTCGTTCGAAATTTTAGCTCTTAAATCTATCGTGGATTATCTATATTTGGTATCTACTTGTTCCTGATACTCTCCTATATTTCTACAAGATTTTGGAGTCGAATTGTATACATTTTTCTTTTATTTACGAAAATCTTCAAACACATAATTATAGCGATGGTGCTTCCTATTTTCAATTCCTTCTCTCAACTACGCCTATGAAAATTTCATCAAATCCAAACGATTTCATTGGTAAATCATACTATCAGGAGGACCAGGTAGGTTGTACAAGGTTGTAGGCTGATAGTATATTAAGAAGAGATTTTGGGAATTCATGAGAACTGTTATTGTTCTTTTCAACATACCATTCTATTTTAAGTTTGATCGATTTATTGTTTATATTGATGTCCCAGGATGGAGAAGAACCAATACCAAGATTTCCAATTAATGAGGAAGCTTGAAAAGGTAAGGGATAGTATGATTTACCAATGAAATCGTTTGGATTTGATGAAATTTTCTTAGGCGTAGTTGGAGTAGGAAGGACACCGTTGAAAATAGGAAGCGCCATCGCTATAATTATGGGTTTGGAGATTTTCGTAAATAAAAGAAAAAATGTATACAATTCGACTCCAAAAATCTTGTAGAAAGGTAGAGGAGAGTACAAGAAACACGTAGATACCAAATATAGATAATCCACGATAGATTTAAGAGCTAAAATTTTCGAACGAAGACGAGCGCGTGATAAACAAAACAACCGCCGATCGCACCAATTTATAAACTTTGATTTCTCGGCGAAAAATGGACCAATTTCAGCCAATAAACTCTTGAAATGATCGCTAGACTTTTAGCTACAAGATTATACCATAAAGTAAGGCCAATGAACAATTTTGAAGGAAGAAGATCAAAATTTCGAAGAGCACCGCCGGAAAATTCAATGGCCTTGCATTTTTGGCCTTGCTATGGCAAGATATCAGGCCGTGTAATTTAAGTAGGCCATGGCTGTTGTGTTGTATTGATTGTTTTAGCTTTGCTATACTTCCCTTTAACACGATGAAAAAAGCTAAAATTCACACTTACCAGAATAAATATTGTCAGAGCACGTTTCAATAAAGACGACATTAAACTACAATAATTGATTTTAACAACCACGAGGTCGAAAAGGTCTGACGTCTGAATCTATTCTATCCACTAACACATATCCCAGAAGTCAGCATTAATATTTAACACGTCAATTACCAGTGTGATCAGGAAAAGACCCTTATATTTCTTAATATAAGTTTTAGTATTTCCTTATATTTCCTTGAAATATGCATTAAGATTTTAATTTATTATATTTTATACAAAAACCACTCTATATCACGGACACAAACGAAGTTAAGTGAAACTTCATTAATGTAAACGCAAGTCCATTGCTGTAGAAACGGATTATTGGGGACAATGGACGTTCCGTATAGGCCGATGTCATTAGCACTTAAGGGTATAAAGAATTTGATATTGGCAAACTTTGATAATTCTTGTAAAATCCGTAGTTAAGTCTTGATCTTAGCTTATATCTGCTCGTTGACGGTCTTACAACTATATCTAACAGCATTGATAGTTGTAGTTCTAGTCAATATCTGCTCCATTCATGTTCTGTGCGATGCGTAAATAACAGTTAACAACACTGTATGGATTGTATGGACTGTATGGACTTATCAATTGATATATTAACTGAATTACACACCTCACCCCGTTCACTTTCTACGCCTAATTAAACAATTCAATGACCTTGTCAGCATTAAAGATTGACAAAAAAGTAAACTGCATCGATCTCAATCTTCATCGGAGTGAGCACCTACAGTGGCACTAAGGTCAAACTCGATGCATTCTACAGCTGTTTTGCGAGTTCGTTCCTGGTCAAAATAAAATTAGCTTGCAAATGTGAAATGAGTTAGTGAGCTTTTGATTGAAGCTGGCATTTTTCTCCGACTGCTCCAGTTTTCTGCCGCTGGGAATTTTGTAAAGGGTTGATATTTACAGAAAGTATGGCGTTCAGGAGAACCGTTATAAAAGTTCTTCTGAGGTTAAAACAGCGTAGACGAGGTTAATATGAATTCATTGTTCGTATACCGGAGTATTTAAATTTATTACTCCTTAAAAAATAACGTTTTAGCTGCATTTACACTATACCGGATTTGCTCATCACGACGTCTTCATTTGCTTTAAAAGGGGTAATTGTTCGGAGTAAAAGCCTATTAAGTGGATAGATTTAGTCTATTTAATCGTGTTTCTGACGCTGAACAATTTTACTGCCTTTTAATATAAAGAATATTCAACCTGCTGCGATAGCAATCCGGTATATTGTAAACGGAGCCTTAATGAAGACGTGTTGAAAAAAAACATGGAAAAATGTCGTCGTTTTATATTCGCGTATTGCGTAATGATGGGTATTACCATTATTTGCCAAGTAAGGACCAAATTCATTTCCTCATCACAATTCTGCGTCCATGTTCTCGATCATAAATCTTGTTATCAACTTGGGTTAAGTCAGATTAGCACTAGCCTTCCACCCCCTCCCTCCAGCAATTAAAGTATTTTTTCAAGGGCTGCACTGAAGTAGTTCTCTTTCATTTAAAAAACATTGTTTATATGGAAGCTTTTTTCTATTGGCAAAAATCATCTATCATATTGCTGTCTCTCTCAAGCCATGAATTCCATGCTTCTTTTTTTGGAACAAGAATCTTTTGCTCTTTAACAAACAAAACAAAACTTTGCTGGTTTTACTTTCCTTTCATAAATAAGAATGTATTATACATTTTATATTTTACGCATATCTCTCTATTGCTCTCAATAAGCAGATAAAATGTCGAGTTTTTAAATGGACGGGTCATACACTATAGCGCACCAGCCTTCTACTATATATCGTTTTGCCAAGATTGTATAATAAGGACGTATCTCTATATCAACACCTTCCACAAAGCAACATCCGGAAAACCAACGGAAAACAGTTTATCTCCGGTCGGAGAAAATGTCACATGGCTAATAGAGTCACAATGCATATCAAAATCTTGAAAGCTACCTTTATCATAATCAATTACTTTCACCAGTCGATCTAAAACAAAACGAAAATTACAGACAGCAAAAATACTTAATTAAGTGATTTTAAAGTAAAGCATTCGGTGTCATTAATTCTCGAGGAAATAAAAAAGCACTGAAAAGAAATAAAAAACTTTTTAACGAGAATTTCACCTAAAGCTTTTTTGATTCATATTTCCGACGTAGCTACGTCGATTTTGGACGTTTTTTTAGACTTAAACTATGTGGGATACGTAACCCTAAATTGTGATCTTAATTTTCTTGTCAGAAAACCATCGATAATCCAGTTTTACTAATGGAAGAAAACTAGATGAGAAAAATTGACATAATTTGGAGTAGATAAAAAACTTTAACGATTTCAAACTATTATCTTTCAAGATATAGAAACGATTTTCAAATCATTCAGTGTTGTTTTGCAGAACGTTGTAAAAAACTTCTTAATTTATACCTTTGGTTCCAACAGCAATTAAATGACCCTTAGGCGATATTTCCAAGCAAGAAGCCCATTGTGTCAACAAAATAGTTCGAAAAACCTGACAATGAACACATTTCCATCAATGATGGACATTTTGTCTGCTCCAAGCACAGACCTCTTACAAATACTGACCTTTCTCTGGGACAAGCTGTAGAATTGTATCAGTTTTCTCAGACCATAACCACTGTACACAATAACATCGGGCTCTGTTGGCGAGAATCTTGCCAAACTTGGCGGTAGATGCAAATACGCAGAATTCAAAGGGAGAAAACATGCTTATTTCAAATTTATTAAAACGATTTTCCATAATAATTTATTTATCTTTCATTATCTTGAGCAACTACAATCAAGACAAGAAACAAACTACAATTTCTCACCGCATCGTCTTTTTTCAAAGCAATTCCTTCAGGTGTTATATTTGGAGCGGGAAAAGTTAACCAATCAACAAGCTCGCAGAAATCCTTCGACCAATCCGCCTTCCAGACGCTAACCCTACGATCAGCGCTCGCAATAAGCCACAATCTGGGAGAATTGAATGATGGATGATCGTTCTAAAAACAAGGTTTTGATTATTAATAAGCCCTTAATGACCAAGCGCGAGGTCTTTACAGAGAAATAATGGACCGAAGTTTTTTTTGTACAGACCGATCCCGTAGGGTGAGATTGTACAAAAAAAACAGAGGTCTGATATTTCTCAGTAA